AGGAATCCTGAGTACTTGGGTGTGGTACCAGCCACTTCATTCAAACCCCACTATCTGTTTCAGAGCATCTTGGCCCCTCGTTTCCTTGTTTCTCAGATCAAAGAGGAGTTTAGATCCGGCTCTTCAGTGAGGTTGCTTTGTGTCACACGGATGCTTTGCTGCAGGAAGAGCTGAGGCAGGCCGAGTTTGGGAAGTGTATGTGCCGTGTGCTCACTCAGGGCCCCATCTTCACAACTGCCCCTTCTCCTTCCTGAGGCTCCCAGGCCACTGATGAGCTCTGTCGGGTCTTCCTTCCGCAGGAGACTACACGGATTTCTATTCCTCTCGGCAGCATGCTACCAACGTTGGCATCATGTTCCGGGGCAAGGACAATGCGCTGATGCCCAACTGGTACGTCCCGGGTCAGACACTTGGACAGTCCGTTTTCAGTAGCATGTTGTGTCCCAGGAACAGCCAAGCCCTGCTTAAAGTAAATCGGGGCCAGAGACCAGGGATTCTGCGCCCTCTGAAACTCAGGCCTTGGCCTTGGGGCTTCTGCCTAGCTGGGCTCCAGACCTGCTCTTGTCTCGTGGGCACGTGCCTACATGGCTTCATCCAGAGACTGGGGCTTGGAATTCGATTCCCTGAATCACTGTGAACCTTCTGGATTCTTTCATTTGTGAGCCACCTATTATTGTCTTAGGGGCAAATCGTAAACTCTCCAGACTCAGCATTTGTTGGTCTTTTTGTTTTTAGGAGTCTTGCTATGTTGTGATTCTTCTGTGACAGCCTCCCAGGTAGCTGGGGTTAGAGGCTCATGCCACTGGCCTGGCTTTTAGAGTGGGCTAAGAACCAGACTGAGGACTCCCACGTGGTCTCAGCCCACTGAGTCCCGAGCACCAGTCCACGCGACCAGGCCCCCATTTAACAAGAGTTCTCAGAGCAAACCCGCTGGCTTTATGTCCCTCCAGATGCGTTTCACAGTTTCTTTTATCTGATCCTCACGCTAGTTCTGTGAGATTGCCAGGCTGTTTTAGGTGAGTGAAAACAGACCCAGAGGAGAGGACGGATGGGGCCACAGGCTGTCCCCTGACTCCTGAATCAGGGCTGTTGACCAGGCTGCGATCCTGGTCCTGTGCTCCGTGTGTTGTCCCTCCCACCCCCAGATCTGTGTTGTCCCTCCCACCCCCAGATCTAAATACCACCAGCCAGAGGAAAGAGCGAGGGTGGGGCAGAGGTTTTACCCTGTTGGAGTAAGTGTTTCAGAGCATCTGCCAGGAAGAGAGGCTTTCATTAGAACTGAGATAAAGAAGGAAACGGGGGAGAGAGCAGGGCATGATCCAGAGAAGGCCGGCAGCACGCTGAGGCTGCAGAACATGGCAGGGTGAATCTGGGATGGGAGCCGTCCCCAGGCTCCCACTTGAACACTCTGTCTCTTCTTATACGGCCTCTCGTCATTGGATTTAGGGCCCCGGATCACCCAGGGTGATCTCATTTCAGGATCTTTAATGGTATTTGCAAAGACTCTCTTCCAGCATTTGGGGAGGCGGGTTAGGATGTGGCCAGATCTTTCAGAAAGCCACCATTCAGTCCACCACAGGGTCTGACTTATCCCACCATCCCAAACATTGAGCAGTTTTTGTTACCATGCGCCCTGTGCCCACCTACGCAGGTTCTGCATGCTGCTCGTTCTGTGTTCATGCTGTACTGTCTTAAATCGCTCTATGGTGTTCCAGACGTGCTTTCCTCTTTCATGACCTCTCCCACCTCTCCGTCTTGTCAATAGCTCTTGACAATGTTTCGTCGCCCTGGGAAGACTCTGGTGCTCTGAGCTGTGTGATTTCTTCCCAGGATCTCATCCTCTTAGGTACAGAGTGGGCCACAGAGGAAGCAGCGGAACTTTGTGTTCAGAGTCTGAGGTTTGACTCCCAGCAGGGACGGCATCTGGTGAGGGCCTTTTTACTGGAGGGGACTCTCTTCAGTCTCAGCATGGCTCAGGCCATCTCATGATAACAGCGCAAGAGCACATGTCAGCTCTGGGTTCTCTCCCTCTTCTTTAAAGCCACGGAGATTCAGTATGGAGGTCCCCACTCTGATGACCTTATCAAATCCTAATGACCTCCCAAGGGCCCGGCCTTCCAGTCCATGAGAGTAAGCTCCTGCGCTCTTCAGACAGCCACAATACAAGCACGCTATAGCATGGTTATCTGGGGACTGGACACATCGAACTAGAAGAGCACACTTCTGTGCTGGCGCCAAGGATGAGACAGAGTCTAACTTCTCCCACTATTTATTTAATTTAAATACTATCTGATTTCTAAAAACGTGTGACGTATACATAAAATCTGGCATCCTAATCATTTTTTAAAAAGAATTACTTATTCATGATTATTATTTTTTTCATATGAGTTCGCCAGAGGGAGAGAGAGAGAGAGAGTGAGCAGGAGAGTGGCAAAGCAAGCTGCCAGGTGTAGGACTCGAAACGCGGACGGCCACGTGGGAAGTCCAGTGCCTCAACCACCATGCCGCCTGCTCATCCCTGAGCCTAATCGTTTTTCTGTTTTAAGTGTGTCGTTCAGTAGTTAAGTATATTCACATTATTGTACAACCATCACCACCGCTACCTCTATGACCCTGTCATCCTGCGGACTGAAACTCTGCACCCGTTAATCACCAACTCTCCATTTCCCTGTCCCCCAGCCCCTCCAGCCCTTGTGCTGATTCTGTCTCTGTGAATTTGACTGCTTTAGTCCCTCATATCAATGGAATTGTAGAGTTCGCCCCTTTGACAGTGGCTTATTTCACTCAGCAGTGTCCTCGTGGTTCATCCATACCATCCCTACATGCCAGATTCCCTCCCTTTCTACAGCAGAATACTATTCCATTGTATCAGTAGTATATGCCATATTTTGGTTTTCCACCCATCAATTGATGGACACTTGGGAGTCCCTTTTGATTTTTGAGCCGTAGGCCAATTCTGCTTCTAATTTTAAAAATTTGTAAAATTCGGGACCGACAGGTACTGTGATATTTGAGATCCTGGACTCCATATGGGCAACTGCAGTTCTAGTCCCAGATCGGGTGACTTGCTTTTTCACTTTCACTCTATCTCCCTCTCTCTGTATCTCTCTGGTCAAATGAACATTAATAATAAATAAATATAAATTTATTAAAAACGTTCAGTTTTGGGACCAGCAGTTAGCATAATGGCTATGTCGCTGGACTCCCACGTAGTCAACCGTGGTTCGCGTCCCAGACCTGGTGGCGTAAAACTTACGCCGGGCGTGTGTGCGTGCATGCCCAAGAGGAGAATGGAGGAGAAGGGATTGCAACATGGCCATCCCCCCTGGGTGGTGATTTCTCACTTTCTGTCTCTCTGTTTCTCTCTGTCTGGCTGGCGAGCGCACGCACCCTATAGCAAAAACCTCCCTCCCCCCCAAAAAAAAAACCGTTCGGTTTACATGTTGAGTTTACATGTCCAGTTTACATGTTGAGTTTACATGTCCAGTTTACATGTCCAGTTTATAACCTGTAATGGTTTTGTTGCCTGCACTCTCTCACTGTCCTTTCTCAGGCTGCACTTACCAGTGGGCTACCATGGCCGTGCTTCCTCCGTCGTGGTGTCTGGCACCCCGATCCGAAGGCCCATGGGACAGATGAGACCGGATGACTGTAAGTGACTCTCCTAGCATCCAAGTCCTGCCGTGCCCAGTTCTGTCTCTTCACAGTGAGTCCCACAGCCTGGCACTCACAGCTGCCTCTTTGTTGTGTGTTGTTCCAGCTAAGCCTCCTGTATATGGCGCCTGCAGACTCCTGGACATAGAGTTGGAAATGGTGAGCGGTGGCCTGGGCTTTCATCCACATACGATCTGTAAAAACCTTCTAGCAGGGCCAACCAGTGACATGGTGGTTAGGGCAGCTGGATCCCACGTAGCCTCCCGTGTGGTTTGCGTCCCAGACCCAGTAGCTTGAAAAGCACGCTGGGCACGTGTGGGTGCTTGCTAACAGTCCTGAGAGACGTGGAGGAGAAGGGATAGCAGCATGACTGTTGTCCGTGGGGGATTCGCTCTCGCTTTCCCTCTCTCTAGCTGTCATTCGTTCTCTCTCACTGTCTCTAGCAAGTGCATGTGCCCTCTGGCAAAATTTTAAAAAAAGAAAATATTGATACTTACAGCAAGCGAGTGCTCCAGTTGGCTTCCCTACATGGTGGGCTGCCCACTCATCTACCACGTCCCCACCTGGCTATGGACATACAGTGAATCCTCACTATTTGCGGATCCTGTATCTCTGGGTGACATGTAACCGGATTCTAACTGGCTTCCCCATGCCAGGCTTTCTTTGTAGGCCCTGGGAACAAGTTTGGAGAGCCCATCCCCATCTCCAAGGCCCACGAGCACATTTTCGGGATGGTCCTCATGAACGACTGGAGCGGTGATTATGGGTGGCCGAGCGCCCCAGGAGCACCCTGCTGTGGGTGGAGGGTGGGGTGGTCTGGGTGTCTGGATATAGTCACAGAAACCGTGGGCATTTCCTGAATCTGGTGCTGGACAAAGACAGCAGATAAGGCAGTGACTGAGTGGGTTTGGGACTAGACATCAGCTCTGAGAAGGTCCCCTCTCTGAGCTCCACTCTTCTCTGAAGGAGGGACAGGGCTGTCTTCACACCTCGTGTTTGCTGAGCACTTACTATGTGCAGGCCCTGGGCCAGCACCTCACCTGCACACTGCTGCTGCTCCCTCAGGCTTTGCTCACATGGTTCCCTTCATATGGGTGAGGAACCATGCATGGACAGGCTTCAGCTAGTTTGAGCTCAGACTTGAAGCTAAGCAGCCCTGCTTCTAAGCCTGGGCTGTCAGCCCCATGCCTTTCATTGGAAGAGGCAGTGCCCCAAGTCCCAGCAAGCATTCTCCCCTAGTGGACAAGCTTCCAGCTCCTGACAGGTCATCCCCACCTGGCACTGTGCCCTGCAAGGACGCCTGCCCTCAGCGTTGAGTGTCCTTACCCTTTGGTCTTGTTGGGATCAGAGCTCTGTGCTGGGGTCCTTGCTTCTTGGTCAAGGACAGGTGAGAGGCCAGCCCCCGTGAGTCCTGGCTCTGTCCTTCTCCTGTAGCTCGAGACATTCAGAAGTGGGAGTACGTCCCTCTTGGGCCGTTCCTTGGCAAGAGTTTTGGAACCACTATCTCTCCGTGGGTGGTGCCGATGGATGCCCTCATGCCATTCGCTGTGCCCAACCCGCTGCAGGTAAGCACGCCCTCTGCGGGAGCACCCCCTGAGGCCACCTGCCCACTGAACAAACACAGGCGCGGAGACCGTCGGCCACAAAGCTGCATGCCCATGGCATGCCCACTACAGCATGCTCTATGGATCCTAGTCTTGGGGACCTCCAGGCGGCCATGGCTCGTCATTCTGTCTTGTGGTTTCCCCGCCCCTAGCACAGTTTTGGGGGAAAATCAAAACCATCAGAATCCTCCCATGCCAGGAGAACTGGCCAGCTGTCCAGAGAAGGGGGTCTCTGCCAGTAAGTTCGACCACTTGGCACAAATTGTGTTCTGTGCAGATGGTACCCCCTAGAGCACAACTTGAGAATGCACTTTGGGGCCAAGTACCCAGAGGGTCCTTGCACTGCTGCCCAGGCCTTTCATGGACTTACCCTCGCTCCTCAGCCTGGTACAGTCTGGCCACTGTCTCACCCCATCGCCAGCCTTACCTCACCAGTCACCTGACCTTGTACTCAGTACCATGGCCTTTGCTCCCATTTAGTGGGGATCCCGTGGGGCTGGCAGGTGGCATGGTTAGGGGCGCTGGACTCCCACACAGCCGACCACGGTTCAAGTCCCAGACCTGGCAGCTTGCATTCTCCCTCCCTCCCGCTGTCTCTCTCCCTTTTCTCTCACTCCTCTTTGGTCAAATTAAAAATAAATAAATAAATGAATGAATAAATAAAGTTAAATAAAATAATTCCAAAAAAAAAAAGTAGGGACCCCTTACAGCTTTCTCACTCCCTAGGCAGTCTCTCGCCACTCGGCTTCTGGCACATGGCCCGTTCCAGTTCTGTGTTTCTGAGTTCCCATGGTGCCCCGCTCCAACTCTGTCCTCTATGGGGGGCAACCCAGGAGGAGCCCTCGGCCATTCGCCCTTCTCCCTCCACACCTCCCCCGGAGCATCTCACCACGCGTGGTCATGGTGAGATGCTCCAGGGGAGCACTGCCGCCCACTTCCGGCTCCTGCGTCCAGGCCACTCCCCACACTCCTCTGCCTGCCTTGCCCTGGTGTCCCCTCTTAACGTCCCTGCGGGGCTGTCGCACTGTCCCCTCGCTTCCTCCTCTATCCTTCTGCCACTGCAGCCCCTGCGCCCCTCATTTTCAGGCCCCAGCACTAGTCTCGCTCTCCCTCTGCGTGAGTGTGGGTAGCCCTTCCTCTGTTGCCTTGCTGGCAGCTGCCTTGGCTGGACTCCTCCGACCGCCTCGGCCACATCCTCCCCGTACTCGTCTTTCCAGGTCCAGCTGCACGGGTCACTGTGTTGCCCTTTCCAGAGGTGCTGGGTCCCACCTTCCTCTAAGCCAGCCCTTTCCAGATGCCATTTCTGAACAGTCGTCCTGCCCCTTCTGAACTGTCGCTTTCTGAATGTTTTCCTTTACAGCAAACAAGCTCCCAGAGAAAAAAACGCCATGTCCCTACCTGCATTGCTAACCACCTATCAGTCACTGAAAGGAAACATGTGGCTGGGTGGTGGCGAACACCTGTGGGCCCGGCTATTTGGGAGGCTGGGGCAAGAGGATCATGAGTTCGAGGCTGGGTTAGGCAACTTAGACGCTGTCTTAGAAGGGGCGGAGGGCGGGGGGAGGGAAGAAAGGGAAAGAAAGAAAGACAACTGTTAAATTACTGCGTGCTCCCGTAGTGATTTATGCCTCCCCTGCTGGGGAAATACTGCCTTGGCCCCCAGCGCCTGTTATTGGGCCTGATCAGCAGAGCTGCGCCCCCTGCTGGCTCTCACACCACACGGTGCTGTCTGCCTCTATTGGCCTTCTCATTCCAGGGTCCGGTCTGGACCTTCAGTTGCCCTAGCTCTTAACCCATAGAACTCACTTTGGTCCTCGTCTCTGGCCCTTCCACGGTCCTCCTTCCCCAGCTCTGCCCTCCCCTGACTTTCTGCATCTTTGGCTTGGCTCCTCGTGACCTTTGACCTGCATGCCCCTCCCTCAGCTTCTCCCGGAGCCTGGCACTTATGAACAGCTTCATCCCCCACTATCCAGGGATGGTGCTGGGTCCTTGGGGAGGGAACACTTCTGCTGCCTCGGCCCCCTGACCCTCGGCCCTCCTGCCACCGACTTCTGCTGTGCTCTGTCCTCCCAGGACCCCAAGCCCCTGCCATATCTCTGCCATGACCAGCCCTACACATTTGACATCAACCTTTCTGTCGCCCTAAAAGGTATGTCGTGGGTCGGCGGGTGGGCATGCTCAGGGATTCGGTGGGCACCTGTGCCCAAGTGCTCTGGCCCTGGTGGCTCTTGTAAAGGCAAGAGGGGACCTGTTTGTGCTCAAAGGGAGCCACTCGAGTTCACATGGCATTAACCCTGTCACCAAGCTCCAGTTAGCCCGAAGACATGGGGTCAGGACCTCCCTCCTCACGAGAGCCCCTTCTCCGGCCTCCCAGCCAAGGTCTACCTGCCCAGTCACGCAGCACTGCTGGCCCCTCACACCCCTGCTGCGGGGCACATCTCACCAAGGGCCGTCTGAGTCCTCACCGGTGTTACTTCTCTTTCTGGCAGGAGAAGGGATGCGCCAGGCGGCTACCATATGCAGGTCCAATTTTAAGGTGAGCTTTGAAGCTGATGAGACTGCTCTTGGAAGTGAGGGGAATCTTTCTTCCTAGCAGGAACAGGAAAGCAGCAGGAAATCCAGCCTGTGGCCTGGATTTCCAGGGTCCTTTTCTCGAAGTCTCCATGAGGTCACAGAGTTCCCTGGAGATAGAGACTACATAGATGTGGCTAGTGATTTTCTTGGGGATGATAGATGTTCTTGTAAGGCTAACTCTTATTTTCTCCTGTCCTGCCAGGGACTGAATTGATGAGAGTGGCTAGATTTTTGTCAAGTTACCTTTCTAAAAAAAAAAAATTGGGGGGCTGGCTTGTGGCATGGTGGTTAAGGGTGCTGGACTCCCACATGGCTGATCGCAATTCGAGTCCCAGACCTGGCAGCTTGCTTTATCACTTTCCCTCTCTCTCTCGTTCTCTCACTCTATCCGTCTCTGGTCAAGTTAAAGTAAATAAGTAAGATAAAACCTGAACGCCTTCCATGGGGCTCGGTCACACTGCAGTCTCTTTTCCTCCTTCTCTCCCACCTTTCTGGATTTTGGCCATGCATGCACATGCACCCAGCATGGTTCTCAGGTCACTGGGTCCAGGGCTCGAACTACGTAGTCAGCCATGTGAGGTACAGCCACCTTAACCACCACGCCAAGGGCTGGCCTGCTAGTGCACAGCTTTCAGTGCATGTATGTGCACATTTCTGTTGGATGTGCATCTAGAAATGGAATCACTGGGTTACAGGGTGTGTGATGTGTGCGTGTGTGTGTGTGTGTATACACTCAGCCTTGTGAATCGTTTTCCCGGTGGCTGTACTCCCATTAGCAGTGCCTGAGCGTTCCTGCTGTTCCGTAGGCTTGCCAGTACACGGTGGTGTTGGTTTTTCCTTTCTGGCCATTCCGGAGATGAGGATTTCAGTGTGCTTGTCCCCAGTGACCGATGCAGCTGGGCACCTTTTCATAGGTTGATCGGCCATGTGCAGGCCCTTTGAGTCAGTGTTGTCTTCTCTCTAGTCTCCCTTGTAATTTAATGTTATTCTGGGTCCTTAGTCTGGTGGGGAGACATGAGAGGCCCTAGAAGGGGGTCGTGGGCCAGAATCACTGCTCTGGTTCCCTTCACCTAGGTGTGTAGCCATGGGAAAGGCAGGACTTAGAAGCGGGATGGCCTTGGGGAGAGGCCTGGCCAGCTTTGCATTGCCTCTAAACACCAGGATGTGCACGTGGCACTCTGCTCCCCTGTCCCCACAGCCTGCCCTCCTTCAGGCTTCATCTCACCCCCACCTGCTCTGACCTTGTGTTCTATCATCCAGCCTCTGCCCAGCATCTGTTCGAAGGCCTGGGGTGGGAGAAAGCGGGTGAGGCCTTTGCTCACAAGAAGCCTCTGCTGTGGTGAGGAGCTGGTCCTTGCCAGTGTGGAACTCCCAAGCATTCCTAGGGCAGAGTGTGGTCATGTCCGGATGGACTGAGCAATGAGGTTGGCTCTCAGTGCTTCCTGCAGGCAGTGGTCAGAACGCTGCTTGAGATAGCAGAGGAGCCCAAGGCTGGAGCTAGTAAAGGAGATGGGAGGGACGTGGGGGAGGCCCCTGAGCACTCAGCAGCCTGCTGCTGTAGGGGATGGAGAGCTGGCTGGGGTCCTAGGAAGGCCTGACAGCAGTCGTGGTAGGCATGTGCCTGCCCTGCTCACCCTCCCGCTTTCCCCTGTTCTCAGTACATGTATTGGACGATGCTGCAGCAGCTCACCCATCACTCTGTCAACGGCTGCAACCTGCGGCCAGGGGACCTCTTGGCTTCCGGGACTATCAGCGGGCCGGTGAGTACCCAGTCTCACTGAGGGCTGGCCGTGGGGTGCATCCCTATTCCCCACACAGACACAGGGCCCTTTCCTCTTCCTCATAGCTTCATCAGGAAAGGCTTGTCCTTCAAATTCAAACCTACGGAGACAGGGATGGGGCGGGGGGGAAACAGGACGTTGGGACTGTCAGAATGTCATGCCGGGGCTCCAGGAAACAGTGTCTCGTGGCCACCATCTACACTGTTCCTTCTGGAATGCAGGGTCCATGCTGCTGGCCCTCTGTCCCCCTGGGCCTCTGAATGCCAGACTCGAGGTGCAGAACCTCTGAGATGATGACTTGCGGTCATAGGGATGTCAGTGACTCCAGGGAAATTCCTGACCGCACCTTCTTGTGAGAGATTTGGCCAGTGTGGGTGGTTGTTAGGCATGACAGTATCTGGGCAAGTGGGGAGTGGTCACCACAGGAGAGGCCTGGGCACCAAGTCCTGAGCACATGGTGGCCTTGGTGGGAGGCCACTCTGGCTGCAGTATGTGGGGCAAAGACGAGCCTCAGCCATTTCTGCAGTGGCCCTGCGGAGGCTAATGCTGAGTCTCTTGGGGTTCCCAAGTCCCCCCTGCCCTTGCCAGGGCTCCTGGATCTTGCTACGCATGTCTGTGCTGGAGCCAGCACACTCACCTGATGGGACACATGTAACCCTTTCCCCTCTCCTCTCATGAAGGAGCCGGAAAGCTTTGGCTCCATGCTGGAGCTGTCCTGGAGAGGAACGAAGGCCATAGAGCTGGGAGACGGGCAGACCAGGAAGTTCCTGCTGGACGGGGATGAAGTCGTCATCACAGGTGAGGGGTGCCAAGCCTGCAGGCGCCTCCCTTCTCCCGCGCCGCCCGGCACAGTGCCAGCCGTGGGGCGCACCGTCTGGCCACGAAGCCATCTGGCCCCACTCCTCCCTCACAGCCCTGGCCTTCCCAGTCCCATGTCAGCTTGTGATGTCCTCTGGCACAGCCTCAGCTGCCAAGGACTTGGACTCTGAGTCTCCGTGGACCAGAAAACCTCGGCTTTGTCTCTCTCCTCCCTGAGCAAACTCATGACCTTACGGCAGGTTCTTCATTACCCTGGGCTTTGCAGTAACCCCTCTGTGCAGATGGACTCTGGCCTGTGACGGGCTCCAGGGAGGCAGCACTGAGTTACTGACTGAGACGTCACAGCAGCTCCTTCTGAGGAGGCTCAAGTGCCTCTTAACATTTGGGGGCCCTGAGACCAGCAGATGGCGTGATGATTATGTCACTGGGCACCCACATGGCTGACCAGGGTTCAAGTCCCAGACCCGGCCACTTGAAACTCATGCTGGGTGCGTGTGCATGCATGCCCAAAATCCTACAGGAGAATGGAGAAGAGATTGTAGTGTGGTCGTCCCTCTGGAGGATGATTTCTCACTTTCTGTCTCCTTCTCTCTGGTGAACACACGTGCTATGCAGCAAAATCTCTAGAGAAATATTGGGATGGGGGGCCTCCTGCCTACCGCATCATATTACACACGAGGAGGCCTGTAGCACCTTCTTTGGAGTCAGGAAGACTCAAGTTGTACTCGTACATCCCCCAGCAGCTGTGCGATCTTCATCCAGTCGTTACCCTTGCTGAGGCTGTTTCCTCAGTACTTAACCTTGTGGTGCAGCTGTAAGGATCCAGCAAGCCGGGTTATTCCTTCAGTAGACATTTGCGGAGCACCTCCCGTGAGCCCCGTCCTGAGGTTCCAGTGGTGAACAAGGCAAACGATGCCCCTGCTCTTCTGGGCCTCTATTCTTGTGTCATAAACCACACTTTTTTTTTGAGAGAGAGGTTTTTGCTATAGGGTGCATGCACTGGCCACACCACAATCCCCTCTCCCCCATGCTTCTCTCAGGATCTTGGGCATGTACACACACGCGCCCAGTGTCAGTTTAAGCCGCCAGGTCCGGGACTGGAACCACGGTCGACTCCATGAGAATCCAGAGACATAGACATTACGCCAACTGCTGGTCCCAAACTGCACCTTTTTACAGATGGGACAGTGAAGACACATCAAGCTTAAACAAGTTGTCCAAGGTCTTGCAGCCAGTAGATAATGAAATCACCCCTCAGGGGGTGACTATGCTGGAATCTCTTCTCTTCCATTCTCCCCTCAGGATTTTGGGCATGCACGCACGTGTGCGCAGCGTGAGTTTCAAGCTACCGGGTCCAGAACTGGAACCGTGGTTGACCACATGGGAGCCCAGTGGTCAGCCATCTGCTGGTCCCCAAATCAGTTTCTAATCATGGGAAAGTAAGATAGAACATTCAGAAGTGCTGACATCACCCAAACGTGGCAGCACTGACTGACGGTGTTCCAGTGCTCCACATGTGGTATGTTTTGTGTTTGTTACACCATCTGGCGGTCAGCGTGTGACCTGCGAGAACGCGTCTGTTCGGAGGCATCTGCACCCACCTCTCCATACTGCTCGGTGCTTGCATTTTCCATGCCCTTCGATCTTTAATGTACCGAGAGTCGTGAGTTGGGCAACTCTCTTGGTATCTGAACTGATTTGCAAACATCCAAACAAAAGTCTCTGTTTTGTTTTCCTGCAGTCTTGGTGGCACTGTCCCCCATCTGGTCTGCCTGTGGGTCTCTCTATTCCCTCCCTTTTTCCCATTCACTGTTGCTGTGTCTATCCCTTGCCTGTTACAGAATTCCCTGGACCAGGCTGGTCGGGGGTCCTAGAGGGTAGAAGCTGCAGGACCATGGACAGCGACCATGTGGCTGTTGGGAGAGGTCTTGTCCTGGAAATTCAGTTACTCTTCTGTGGACCCAGAGGCTCAGGCTGAGGCTCTATGATTTCTCTCTGCTCTTGCCCCTTCCTGCCAGCACAACCAGGTGTCTGCAACCTTGACTGACCTTTTGGCCAGAGGGTCTTCCTCCTTCAAAGAACAGAGAGCTAGGAACCAGCAAATGGCATAATGAAGATATCGCTGGATTCCCACCTCGTTGACCATGTTGGAGTCCTGGACCTGGTGACTTAAAACCTCACACCAGGCATGTTGGCATGCGTGCCCAAGAGCCTGAGATGAGAATGGAAGAGAAGGGAAGGCAGCATGGCCATCCCCCCTTGGGGGTGATTTCTCACTTTCTGTCTCTCTGGTGAGCACACATGCCCTATAGCAAAACTCTCTCAAGGAAAAGAAAAAAAAAAAAAGAAAGAAAGAAAACTAGAGCAGAGAGCTCTGCACCGTCTCCAGGTTTGCACTTGCTGTTCCTGCTGCCTACGATGCCTCCCACCCCCTCCCCAGAGAGCCTCCATACTGTTGCATGTACTCACCAGGGAGAAGGAAAAAGCATTCCCACAATGGGGCATAGTCACACCACAATGCCTCCTTGGACGAGGTTTAATTTCGGCAAGGAACCAGTTTTTGCTTTCATAGGCCTTTTTCTTGTAAGAGTAGGTATTTCCGAGTGTTGAGATCCTAAAGTGATGTACAGAAAGATAACGGAACTGAGTGAAGCAGTGGGCCTGAACATTGCTCTCGACAAAGTGTGCTCCTGACTGTCGTGCCAGCATGCAGGCCATGGCGTGTGCCACTGCAGGGAGCTGGCATAAGTGTGCCGATGTCAGGGAGAGTGAGGGACTGGGTGAAGGTGGGCCCGGGGTCCATGCCACTGCAGTGTCTAAGCTGCCGCCTTCCCAGAGAAGGCCAGTTGTCAGAGTGGCCCAAGCGGCAGGGACCATTTAAGTGATTGGCTGAGTGGAAGGAGAGGTTTTAGGAGTGCAGCGGGGTAAGGCGCTGCTGGGCTGGGGCACTAGGGGACCACCCACAGGGGCCCTTCCTGTGGCAGCCATGAGAGCTGGTTGAGGACATCACTGATGTCTTCACAGCAACCTGTCCACAGTCTCAGTGTCCTGGTGGCTGCGAGTCTGCTCTGCAGTGTGTTTGGTTTTCTCTTGGCTGCTAGAGTCTGGAGCCTCACCGTTTTCTCCTTTCCACGCTGCGTAGCAGGAGGCACAGCCCTAGGCATGGGGCCAGATTCTAACAGGTGAGGGGTGTGGTGGCATTTCCACATGACTTCAACATCACGGGCATGTCCAGAAGCAGTCTTTCCCCCATCAACTTCGAGTTGCCGTGGCATGGTCTCCTCTGGGTTCCACACGGGTCAGGGTCTTCAGAAACATTGCTGTGGGAGGGGCCTGAAGGCCCATGTGTTGACTTGACCTGATAAGCCTTTCCTGCTGTTAAAAAAAAGCTGAAAATGCCTGTGTCTTCTTGCTGTTGTGAAGATAGGTTCAAACCCCTTAACAAGGCTTCTCAGAGCACCCCAACTGACAGCCTCACCGAACAGATGCAGCAAATGCATCTTCGCACGTGCTACTCCCTCTGTCTGGAATGGCCTTTGTATTGTGACCGCTTAGTGAACTCCTATCCACTCATCAAGGTCCAGCTGAGATGTTCCTTCCTTTCTCCCCCACGCCGCTCCCTCACTCAGCATCCTGAGGACTTGCTCCCCCAGCTCCTGTCCAGACCTGCTGCTCCCACTCATCGGACCTACTCAAGGACAGGGATGGCTTCTCCTCTCTGCCTTCCCGTCTCTCCTGTGGAATTGAGTGAATGAAACGAGCAGCTGGTGAACCTCTGCTCTGTCAGAGATCCTGTGCTGGGAACCTCACCCAACTGTTCTATCTGATCCTCACGACCTTGAACGCCAATAAGCATTGGTACTCCCAGTTTAAATGAGTCACTCAGCCCATGACCTTCCTAAGAGCTGGCCCTCATGGGGCCTTTGCCACTGCCAGGCCCTGTTGTCCTCAGAGCATCCTTGCAGCCAACCTGAGCAGTGATACTGTTGTTACTTCCATTTCATGGATGAAGAAACAGGCCCGGGGTGGCCCAAGGTCACAAAGCAGTGTGGGGGGAGGTTGGGGAGCAGGCTTCACACTGAGGCAGCCTTGGCCTCAGGATAACTGACAGACCTAGGATTTGAACCCACACCCACATGGGAAGTACTGACCACCCTCAGGAAAGCTGTTGAGCCTTGTGGTGCCTCTGAAGGTCCCCGACTGTGGGGCGGGCAGAATTCTAGCTCACGTGGTAAGTGGTCTAGCCAGGGGCCTGCCCAGCTTCGAGGCAGGGTTACTCGTCCACCCACGGTGTGGCTTTGTCATTCTGATGTCACCTGCCTGCCTCGGGCCACACTATGCACTGAGCCGCTTGGTGCTGCCTGCGTGCTGATCCAGGGGCCCAGGCGCTTCATGACCCTGTCCTTCTCTGTTTCAGGGCACTGCCAGGGGGACGGCTACCGCGTTGGCTTCGGCCAGTGTGCCGGAAAAGTGCTGCCTGCTCTTTCGCCAGCTTGAGGTTCTCTGCGAAGGCTCATCTCCACCCCCCGACTTCCTGCGGGGCCTCCCTGTGTGGCTGTGGGTCTGGCTCCTCCTCCATTAGAGAATAAACCAGACGCTCTGCCACCACCCTCTGGTCCAGGTGTGTACAGCCTGCTCGGGAGGCACGCACGCATTCATATTTTCAGCTTTATGAGTGAGGTTGAGGGTCTCTGTGGAGTTTTCTTACCAGGTATCCCAGGCCCCCAGTATTCTCTAGAATATAGGCAAGGAATGGTTCCTGGTTCAATCAGTGTACTTCGGAGAAACAGAACCAGTACCGTGTGTGTGTGTGTGTGTGTTCACACACGTGTGTATGCACGCAGATTAATTTATTTCAACAAATTGCCCCATGTGACTCGGAGGGTGGCAGGTCCAAAACCTGCTGGGCGAATCGGCACTGGAGACCCAGGAGGACTTCCCGTTTGAGTCTGAAGGCAGTTGGCTGGTGGCTTCCCTCTTCCTCTGGAGAACTGAGTCATGTTTCTGTTAATGAGGGCCACCCGTATGAGAGAGGACAGTTTGCTGATGTAATCGTTAGCCTCATCTAAAGCACAGACTGGAAAATCTAGAGCTGTATTTGACCAACTGTGAGGAGGGCTTCAAAACGTTCTTGGAAAATGTGTTCTGTGTAAAAACCATTCATGGACTTGATTTTTTTGGGGGGTGGGGGGACGTGGGGATAGTGGAGAGCAAATAAATGCGAACTTTAATTCCATTTCTCCATGAGCTTTTTGAAGTCCCTTCAAATTCAGGTACTTTGGCCTAACCATATGGCTATGTAAAATTGCCTACTATGTCTTGGAGCTGACAGGACACACTTGGTTACAGACTCGGTTCAAGGACACTGTGGCTATGTCAACACATGAGAAACCTTGCCCAGAGCCCCTCAGCATGGGTGCACACCTGGACTCATGAGGGCAGAAAGGGAGCCGGGGATAGCTTTTCTCTCTGTGCAAGCCCACCAGAATCAGGAGAGCAAGCCCTGCCTGTAGACAGGCCAGCCCTGGGCCCACCCTGTTCCTGGGTGACCATAGCAGGAGAGGGTGCCCAGTGATCCTTCTTGGGCCTAATGAGCTCCTCACCAGCCCCGTTTGGGGAGGATGAATGAGGCTCCGTCAGGTCACATCGTTCACGCCTTCATTCAGCCATCTTTACTACGCACCTTCTCAGGGGTGGGTCCTGTTCTAGGAACCAGAGGCACAGCAGAAAAGAGTAGCCTGCACCCCTGCCCTCATGAAGCTTCCGTTCTCGTGGAAGGAGAGTGTGTAGTCTGACAGACATGATAAGTTCCATGGAGTGTGGGGGATGTGGATACTACGGTAAATGTGGTGGTCAGAGTGGGTCTTGGTGCACTGGGTTCTTAGTAGTTTCCTGCCAGAGAGCCAGAGGCACCGAGGGAACCAGAGGGGTGTTTGGGGACAATGCTCGGGGCAGAGGGAATAGCCAGTGCCAAGCCCTGAGCATTTCTAAGGAACATCAACAAGAAAGCTGGAATTTCTCTTTCACTTACAAGCAGCCTGGGAGCAGGAAGGCTGGAGCGGGCACAGCAATTCCAGGCGTCATGAAGGATGCTCTCTGCAATACTCAGCATGTGGTTTTCGGTGACAGGGTCGCCTTGTGGTATAGAATGCTGGTGCTCCAGCCAGGACATGCAAGTTTCAGATTAGCAGAAAGAAAACCAAGAGGTGGGGCAGGCGTAGGGCTGCCTGGAAAAGGCAGAGGAGCCCTACTTCCCCTAAGGCAAGTCCTTGGAGCAGCCTCCCAGGAACCTCATGCCACACTTGTCTTGCATTTCATGGGTAAGAAGCGTGTCGCAAGAACCCAGCACGTTGCAGGCAAGGCTGGGGCTATGGTTTGAAGGTACTCTTCCTCAAATCCATCTGCTGAAATTTGATCATGCTGGGATTAAGAGGGGGAAAACTTAATCCTATGCTGTATCAAAAGGTGGGAGTTTTCGGAGGTGATTAAGATTATTGAGTCGGGACCAGCAGATGGCGTAATGGCTACATCACTGGACTCCCACTTAGTCGACTGCAGTTCGAGCCCCAGACCCGGTGGCTTAAACTCAACGCCGGGTGTGTGTGTGCATGTGTGCCTAAGATCCTGAGAGGAGAATGGAGGAGAAAGGATTGCGGTGTGGCCATCCCCCCGGGGGGTGATTTTTCACTTACTCTCTCTGTCTTTCTTGTGAGCACATGCGCCCTATAGCAAAACCTCTCTTAAAAAAAATTAAAAAGAAATGGGGGGTCGTCATGGCCAGCAGGTGGCGTGGTGGGTAAGGCACTGGGCTCCCACATGGCTGACTGCAGTTTGAGTTCTGGTCCTGGTGGCTTGCTTTCTCACTTTCTCTCTGTCCGTCTCTGGTGAATTTAATAATAATAATAATAGTAATAATAATAAAATTAATAATTCTTAAAAAAAATAAGATCATTGGGTTGTCAGGAAAGTCATGACAAATTTTTGCATAGAAAAACATAGAAAAATACATGGTGACTTCCCCAGTGACTTAATAGATAAGGTCATCAGGTGGGGCCCCCATGACGGTGTCCCAGGGGGTTCACAAGGAGAGGGAGTGAGACACACAGCACCAGCCTACATGCAAGCCCTGGCTCTGACTCCTGATGCCCTGAGCTGCCTCAGGATTGCAGGGAAACCCGACCAGCAAGAAGACCTTCACTGGGACCACCGAGGGCATAACGGTTACGTCGTTGGACTCCTGTGTAGTTGACTGCGGTTTGAGTCCCAGACTCAGCAGCTTAAAACTCATACTGGGCAGGTGTGTATGCATGCCCAAAACTCGGAGAGAACAGAGAAGCAGGGATGCGATGTGGCCATTCCCCCGGGGGGTGATTTCTCACTGTCTGTCTCTGGTGAGCACATGTGTTATAGCAAAAACCTCTCAAAAATGAAAAATCGCTGTTCTACTCAGGCCCTTGGCACCGGAGTTGCCGACATCACCTGTGAGGGTTGCACATCTGTACCCTCGCTATGCATTTAATGCATTTAAGGAAACGAACTGGCACCACAGCAAGCCGGTAGAGTCAGAAAAGTTTCTGGCACTGATTTGTTTAAGAAATCCAAGTCATGGGGACTGGCAGGTGGCATGTAGATTAAGGGCACTGAACTCCCACGTGGCTGACCATGGTTCGATTCCCAGACCTAGCAACTTTCTCTCTCGCTCTCTCACCCTCTCTGGTCAAATTTAAATAAATAAAGTTGGGACCAGCAGTTAGCATAATGGCTATGTTGCTGGACTCACATGTAGTCGACTGTGGTTTGAGTCCCGGACCCGGTGGCTTAAAACTCACGCTGGGCTCGTGTGCGTGCGTGCCCAAGATCCTGAGAGGAGAATGGAGGAGAAGGGATTGCAGTGTGGCCATCCCCCCTGGGGGGTGATTTCTTGCTTTCTGTCTCTCTCTCTGTCTGTCTGGCGAGCGCACATGCCCTATGGCAAAAACCTCTCCAAAAAAAACAAAAAAGAAAGAAAGAAAGTTAAATAAAAATAACTCTTTTTAAAAAAGAAAGAAAGAAAGAAACCTAAGTAATGGATGTCAGTGCTGAGTCTGGCCAGGACTTACCCAGCAGTTACTGCTCCCGAACCCGCGTCGACAGGGGCCTCTGTGTTCCAGTGCCGAGACGCCTGTGGGCAGCCCCAGGTGTCAGGTGAAGTGAACGGGCTTCAGTTTGGGGTATCACATGTATTGGAACCTACCTGTGTGTAATGACGTAAAGTAGACCAAAATGACGTTCATAGCCACATTTTTTTCTGACTGGTATTTTAAGAACGGGGGCATTTTGATCAGATGGAGGCAGCGTTCAGATCTGGTGAAGAGCATCTCAAAGCCGATGGGCCATAATGACCGTCACAAGCGTCTTAGTACTGTTTGTATTTCAGTGCTTCTTGTTTTGACCATCGGCCCGTCGGGAGTATACATGGATGACTGTGCAACTGAGAAGAGAATCCATGTGAAACTTGACCTGACAGAGAGGAGCAAGCCCAGAGGTGTACCTGGCAGGATGAGGCCCCCTACAGGGTTTATTTTATTTTATTTTTTGAGAGAGATTTTTGCTATAGGGCATGCGTGCTCCCAGACACACAGAGAGACCGAAAGTAAGAAATCACCACCTCTGGGAGATGGCCATGCTGCAATTCCTTCTGCTCTGTTCTTTTCTCAGAATATTGGGTACACGCCCAGTGTGAGTGAGTTCTAAGCTGCCGGGTCCAGGACTTGCACCAGGACGACTAAGTGAGAATCCAGCGATGTGACCATTACATCATCCGCTGGTCCCCCGCTGGAGCTTTTAATGTCAGGGTCATGGGGAACACTAACTGGGCTCAGGGGCACCCCTCTACTTGGGCCTGCCAGGCACTAGTCCCAGGAGCCAGGAGAGGAGCAGAGAAGGTGTTGCCCCGCCCTGGTGTTTCCCTGCCCTGAAGCGTCACGCACACTGCTGTACTGTCATGTATGGAGCCCTGCCAGGGAGGGGGTAGGTTTGGGCCAGGGCAGTATTTTCTAGGACAGAGGAGCCTTAGAATAGTAAATATAATTACTGTTAACCTGAAGATGCCTGTCACCTGAACCTCAGCAGTGATTCTGTATTTACCTTTTCTTCTTTCTTTCATCTGGAGGCATATTTTCTCAACATTCCCAGGAAAGACTAAAGTGGCAGGAGTGTGTTCCAAAGTCCTAGTTTGTTTTCTGTGCATCCCTCGTTCTGTCCTCTCAGCAAGACCCCCAGGGCTAAGAGAGTGTTTTCCTTCCTGCGGAGACAGAAAGGGACTGGGAAAAACCACTGGCCTGTGAGGGAGAGACCGAGATCAGATGCTTGATGCAGAGCCTGTCTTTGGGCTTGTTCCTGCTCTTAGACACTAAATGCGTGGCAGTGGAGGATCTTACTGCGACATGGTTTGCTGACGGCACACCCAAGAGCTGGAGCAGCAGAAGTCCTTTCTTCTCCTTGTTTTCCTTTTTTTAGTTGTTCAGGGGCACCTGTGTGCTCATGTGAGAGACAAAGCAAGCACTCTGCATGGGGAGTGGTCACATTACAGCCCTTTCCTGTCCCTCTCTCCCTCCTTTCAGGACTCTAGGCATGCATGCACACACGCTCGGTGTGTTTCTTACGCCACAGGGTCTGGGCCTCAACCATGCAATTGGCTATGTGGGATCCGGCTGCCTTCACCAACTGAGTGCCAAGTTGCAGCCCCCTGGATGTCATCAAATCTTTCAGTCCTATGTGGTCACTCTTCCCTTAATCATTACTCAGAAGAAACCTGAACTCCCGTGCTACCTCTAGGGTGAAACTCACCGTCTGCCCACATACTGGGATGACTAGACTGAAATGGAGGTGGCTTGTAAGAGAGAGAAATTCGTTGGTGGAATGGTGTACTTACATATTGACCGCCTGTTTCTCTGTGTAGTTGAGCTGAAGGATTCTCAGTTCTGGGGTTTTTCTTTTTTTAAAAAAATAATTATGTAATTTTATTATTATCATTACTGTTTTATTTTCTATAGAGCAGATGTGCTCACAAGGCAAGGGTGGGAGTAAGAAACAAACTGCCAGGTCTGGGACTTGAACTATGGTCATCCGTGTGGGAATCCAGAGCCTTAAACACCATACCACCAGCTGGCCCCTTTGGGGGTCTTCTTAGTTATGTATATTAGGCAAATAGATAGGCCCCTTCTTGATAAAGGACATAGTAGGACTTAGCAAGGGGACCCCTCTCCTTAGTGCAGAAGGGTGGAGAGAGAGTGGCCCAAACTGCATGAGAAGTTCAAGAGATGTCAGGGACTGATACTCCAGTTCTCTTTTCGAATACCCAGTGTTAGACACTTGACGTTGGTGTGCTCGTTGGATCTTGCCTAAGATCTGTTGGTAGGGAAGAATACCTTGTATTATCCACAGATGGATGGAGAAGGAGACACAGCAGTTCTGGGTCTTTTGGATTTTGGAGGCGATGTATAGAGACCATTCGTATGTGCCTTTCTGATACATTTACTGGGCCTGTCATAAGCCTGCTTGTTTTGAACGGAGGCCAGAGGAATAAAGGGCTCTAGAAGAGGTCTAAGCTGCCATCAAGGCAGCCCTACTATCTGGGCCTTAAGACCCAGCAGACCCAGTGGTACTAGAACAGTCTGTGGCAGATGGACCTGCTGTGTGGAGCTCCTAAGCATCCCCAGTAAGAGAATCAGCGCTGACCCAGATGTACATGTTTTGGAAGAAAGGGCTGAAGCCCATCTTGGGGAGATGTAGGTGAAAGAACATCTTTGATGGGGCCTTGACGTTGAGGTATTCACGTGCCATCGAAGTGCCTACCAGAGTGCATCCGCTGTGGAAGGAGTTCTCAGTAGTCAGTGGATGAGATGACCCAACCCGCGAATATCAGCCTCTTCTCCTCTGTGCTCTGAGGTTTGCTCAATGGCACCAGGAATGAAGTGACCATAGTGAAAGGGATGGAAGCTCTCCATGGGCCCTGTGAGGCTCATTGTTTCCCATCATGTGTGAATGTGCAACTGGCCTATGGATGAGGCCAGTGCTGGCCCCCGATAGGGCACCGGTTCCCCAGGCTTGGGTGGTGGAATACAAGCCAGCCACGTATTGGCAGGTTGATTACATTGCATCCCTTCCACTGTGGAGGATGGTGGGGATAGACATATATTCCGTACGTGAATTTTCCATTCTTGCCCTCACCACCATTTGTGGAGTTTCAGCCTCTTAGTTTGTTTTGTGCTGGTATTACAGAATACCACAGGCTAAGCAATTTATAATGAACAAATGTATTTGGCTTACAATTTCGGAGGCTGGAACCTCCACAGTCGAGGCCAGCATCTAGTGAGGGCCTTCTTACTGCATCATCACGTGGTGAAAGCCATCCCATGGGTGAGAGAGAAAGGGGACTGAACTCGCCCTTTTAAAATGCTCCCACTCCAGTGATAATGCCATTCATTCATTCACCCACCTTCATGACCGAATCACTTCTCATTAGGCCCCACCTCTCAACACTTGCCTTGGGGATCCAGTCTTTCACATGCGAACAAACTTGGGGGGACACATTCAAACCCAGCACATGCATCCCAGCGTATCTCACGAACATGACCTTTAGCCAAGGAACGCATTTGTGAAGCAAGTGTAGCGGCGGTCGCATACCCAATGACGTTCACTAGTTTGCCACATGCCTCATCACCCGGAAGCAGCAGACGTGGCTGAAATTTAGAATTGCCTTCAGAAGGCTCAGTTATGGCCGCTACCTGCAGGGGCAGTGTTTGTCTTAAACCAGAGGCTAGCCATCTTGCTTTTAGCTGAAAGACTAGAGGCTCTTTCCAGGTTGTCTTCTCTCACATTGCCCCCCACCCAGATGTCTTCATTTCTCCCACATACCGCTGCCACAAAGAGAATGTATTTCAGTCTTGACTGAGGGTCTGGGGTGATGTGAAGGGGCCATAGCAGCACAGCACAGGCGGCAGCAGAAAATCGGCCACTAGACACTATTATCTGGAAATCCACCACCCATTCTCTGGTGCAGGGACCGAGTCTTTGGCTATTTTTCCATAGGTCCTGGATCATGGCCCAACGTCACAAGCATCTCTGAATATTTTTCATTTCCAGTCTCCTACCTTCCAACATCAACTCTTCTGTGTTTTGTTGGACAGTTTATCTCTGTATCCACCACCCCAACCTTCATCTCAGCTAGGCAGAAAGTGGCTAAGATGCCTGATCACAAAGAACCACCTGTTCCATCCTTTAGCAGCATAAAGCAACAACAGAAGCCTGAAATTCCAGGGTTCCCCATCACCCCCCGCCCATTAATATGATCGAATTCATAGACAGGTATTCCTCCCATGTGTCTCATAGGTGGGGGTGCATTTATTTATTAAGTATTGATTCTCTCCTGAACAAACCCCCAGGGTTTATTATATCTGTCTTGATCTTTCCTTTTTCTCTTGGTACATGTATAATAGAGAAAACGAAAGCATTCCAAGTATTTGATAATAGGAGTCTGCCTTGTTTTACAGCCATTAAAATGATAAATACGAAGATCGTAACAGCAACATGGAAATGTGTGTGTGATGTCATGTCAGAAGAAATAGTAATATGTAACATATAACTGATGGGATTTATGAAAAATGTATCTTGCACATACGGATGAGAATTAGAAGGGAATGGACGGACACACATTTTTTTCATGCGTAGTAGTTTTTAAATTTTCCACCATTTCTGAAATGTTATTTCTTCTTGCTACCAAAGGAATCAAGAGTTAAGGTGAGAAACAGCAAATCTAGGTGGAGAAAAGAATTGAGACCAAGGGATCCCAAGCAGTGCTTCTCCAACTTCAATGTCCATATAAATCATCGTGAGGAATTTGCTCATGATTCCTGGGCCCCACTGCCAGCGATTCAGATTCTGTAGATGGAGGTTGGGGGCATGATTTTTATTTTTGTTTGTTTGTTTGTTTGTAATTTGCCAGAGGGCACGTGTGCTTGTGAGAGAGATTGAGTTAGAGGAGAGATGGAGAAAGGACCCCCCAGTGGGGTGTGGTCATGCTGCAATACCTTCTCCTCCATTTCTCCATCTTGTCAGGATTTGGGGCCTGTACCTTCACCCCAAATGTTTTTCAAGCCACCAGGGTTGAGATTCAAACCACAGCCAGCTATGTGTGTCCCAGTTCCTTTGACCAGCAGGCCATGGGGCTGGCCCACATTGTGCATTTCTAATAAGCGCCTCAGTGTGGCAGATGCTGTTTGTCCTTTAACCCCAGAGTAGCGCTGTCCTAGGGCGTTCTACTTTTCCCTCATCAGAGTTCCGAAAGTGCTTTCAGAGAGCACTTTAGGCCTTTGAGACGTCTTTTTGCTCCTTGTCATTAGCTGAGTTGGAGTTGGGTGCTGATTTACATTGCAAATCCGTGCAGAGGGCTTTTCACAGAAGTGTCTGGTATCTCTGAGGTAGGCTTCAGAGTGAAGACCGTTCCTGGGCCGAAGGCAATGCCTGAGTGTCGGGCTTTCCGCTCCTGCCCCTTCTGCAGAGACTCCATTGCATCTTGGTCCACTGCCTTTACCAGCTGCCCCTTTGTGCAGTCCACATAGTGGAGGGGAGGACAACTGGATGTGCCCTGGAGTGCTGCCTGGACAGCTGAGGCTTTGTCCATTTTCAGGGGTCACCTAGTGGTGACAGTGCTTTGGAAACTACTTCCCAGGTGGCCTGGGGCTGGTGGGGAACCCCTGGTTGGGATACTGGTGATGGGAAAGGAGCCCTGAGCTTCTTCACAGCTGCAGGTCTCTTCTGATCATGGCAGGCCCCATCTTGGAGGGATTCAGAAGAAGGGGAGCTCAGGTGGTCTAGTTTAGCTTCATATCATGTTTGTGGGAAAACTGAAGACAGTGGCAAGTGCATAAATAAGTAGATACCATATCCTTGAGGTTAGTCTGCTGGGGAGGTTGCTGTGAGTATTCGTCTGACCAGTGGTCCTGTTGGGAGATTTGATCTGTAGGAGGTGACCCTCAGAAGTTGAGGGTCTAGCCTGGGGTTCTAGGCTCTGCAGGGAGGGGAGAACCCAGAATCTCTGATCCTCCCAGCTCAGACCCTTAGTTTCCCCTGGGGTGGTGGATTCGAGAAAGGACACTAATATTTGTCTGTGTTTTCTCATTTCATCCTCACAACAACCTTGTGAGGTAGGTGTTATTCCCCCATTTACAGATGAGGAAATTGGGGCTCAGAGAGGCTGACTTATTTAGCGTCATAAAACAATGAAGTAGAGGAATTGGGACTTGGGACAGGTCATAGACATTGGTGACAGGGGTGGGCGTAGGGTGGAAGGGTGGGAAGAGGAGGAGGGAGGTCCAGAGAAAAGTCATTATCAGCAGCTTACTCCTTGCCGTCCCCCCAACACACACTACAGCATATTTACATTCAGAGTTCTCCCCTCTTGTCCTTTCATTCACATGAGGTATAGTTGTGCACGCGCACACACAGACACAATATACACACGAATGGCAAGGCTTTTCCTCCCCGTCTTACAGTGAGGGGACTGAGGCACCGAGAGGTGAAAAGACTTGCTCCAGATTACAGCCTCTGAGTGACTGAAGCAGGACTAGAACCTAGGTCTCCTTGTTTAATACTCATCTCATGGACTGTGCTCTGGATGAAGAAAAAAGTCTTGTAGGCAAAGTGAGTGAAACCAAAAGAGACGACTGTCACCCGTCAGCAGTCACTGAGAGGAACGGCCCTGAAGAGTAATGGAATGGGAAGGCGTCATGCTGTCACGGAACGGTGCGACGTCCTGCACGTGGCACCAACTGGACTAAAACTATGTAAAAAAAAGGAAAAAATCTATTAAAGTGGTGGCTTCTGGGAGGTGGGATTGTGTTATTGTCCCCCTTTTCCTTCTATTATGTTTATCTGTGTTTTCCCAAGTTTCTAAAATGTACATTTTCATATTACAGGAAAAATATATCCCTCTGTATTTTAGTTAAAAACAAAACAAAAAACAAAACACTCCTTGGAAGCAGCCCATACGCCTTCTGAGCATTTTCAGATGAGGCACCCTCAACCTCTTCTCACCCTTCGCCGCCTGCTCCGTTGCTGGTCCACAGGGAGGGTTTGGGACCAGCCGGGACATATGTGCTGGGAACCTCCATGTGCTACTTTGTGTTTGAAGGAAATAAAGTCTCCTCAAAATGAAGTCAGTGCTGTGTGCTGAGAGAATCCAACTCCAAAAGTTGCACAGGCGCCTGAGAAGGTGACAACCCCGTCATTGTCCAGCGACTCAGGCTGGAACCTGGGCCTTGGGGATCTTGGCCCAGGACTCTTATCCCTAAGCTGCCCCATGGTTGCAGCACCCACAGCACCCAGGCATTTCACGTCCTGGTGAGAGGTCATGAGAGAGCTGGCAAGGCTGGCAGCCTGCTGACCAGGGCACACACAAGCACATCCTGGCACACTGCTGCCCAGAGAGCACTGGGGTCTACTCTCCACCTGCGCCTCCCACGTCTCAGTCGTCCAGGTGCTGCTCCTCCCAGGTGGACGTAGGGATGGCGCTGTAAGGGTCCATGATGACCTTGGCACAACGAATGATCATCACGACGAGGAAGAGGCAGAGGAAGACGAAGCAGGCCAAGGTCAACCCTTTGTCCACGTCGACGTAGGCGGGCTCTGGCGTGGGCTCCTCCATCTCTCAGCAGCAACTGCGGACTCCTCTGACTGGGGCTCAACTCGTACCATTTTCCACCCCTGCGGAGGGAGCCACGACAGGCAGGGACGGATAACGGTCACTTGCCTGCGGTGGACTCAGGCTGCCATCCTCTTCTATTTATCAACCCCCCTACTTCCTGGAGGCTCAGGCCACCCCACGTGGCCATAATGAAGGGAAGGGACATGAGCATCCCTCTCAGGGACCCACATGGTCCCAGCCCTGCATGACCACACCTTGCCACCAGAGGCGACCCCTCTCTCAGACCTTACCCTTGTTCTCACCCACTGACCTGCTGGTTGGAGTGGTCACCACTTCATAAGGACCCTGGGTTGGGCTGTGTGAGGCGGGAATAGTATCTAGGCATCACACTGGGGAGCTGAGGAGAGTGGTAGCCTTTCACTCAGAGAGAGGGTACTGCACTGGCGGTGGCAGCGCTGAAACAGAAAGAGACAGAAGGAGACTCGTTAACTTCTGAGGAGCCTGGGGGCAGGTGGATCTGTGCTGGCACGAACAACTCGCCTGACTCACTCCTCTCTGCCCCACACTGTTGCTGATGCCGTCTTGTTTCTTTCTTCTGTCTTTTAAAATATAACTAAAAATTAGGGCAAAATTCACATCACATCACATTTACATTTACCATTTTAACCACTGTTTTTGAGTTTACTTTTTTCTTTTATGAGAGAGAGAGAGACAGAGGGTGGAGAAAGAGCCAGGCATCTCCAACAAGGTGTTCATACCTCAGTCTACCCTGGCTTCAGCCAGTCCAGATGGCAGGCTGAGGCATACACTCCCAGCATGTGCAGGGAGACCTCTGGGTGCAAACCCAGGACCTTCTCCTGTGGGTCCAGGATCACAGATTTTCTTTTGCGTTTTAGTTTTAAGCAGTTTTACTGTGGATTTGGTTTTCTCTGTATTTTCTTAGTGTTTGTACCACTTTTTGAATCTCACTTGATGTCTCATTAGCTTTTGAAAACTTTCAGCCCTTCCCTCTCAAAAAGTCATCTGTCTCATTCTCTCTCTCTCTCTCTCCTCTTCTACTTCAAGTATACTGAAACTTTTTTTATTTTTTAAAGAATTACTTTTTAAATTTTATTCATCATTATTGTTATTTTTAAATTTTCTATAGGGCATGTATGCTCACTAGAGAGAGAGAGAAAGTGGAAGGCAAGCCACCAGGTCTGGGACTTGAACAGCAGTTGGCCATGTGGGAGTCTAGCAACTTAATCACCACTCCACCTGCTGGCCCTACCTTTTAATTATGCCACATTCTGTTCGCTTATGCTTTGTTTTGCCTGCTTGCTGTACTTACTTTCTACATTTTTTTTATGCTGTAATCTGAATATATTCTACTGAACTAACTTCCAATTCATTCATTTTCTCTTCTTCTGTGTTTGGTCAACTGTTAAACCTATCCAAATTTCCATACTTTTCAATATTAGAATTTCCAGTTGATCTTTTAAAACGATTTTCAGCTCTCTAGTGAAATTTCCCTTACCACCCATTTTCTTTTCCTTTTTTATTGCCAGAAGGTGCAGGCACTCACCAAAGAGAGAGAGAAAGCACCTTCCAATGGGGCATGGCCATCCCACAACACTTACTCCTCCATCTCTCCATTCTGCCTGGATCGTGAGCATGTACACAGTCATGCCCACATGTCCCCCAAGCCTCCAGAGTCTTGACCCAAACCATGGTCAACCATGCTGGGTTTGGCTCCCTTCGCCATTATGCTCCAGAGACAGCCCTTGTCACCTATTTTCTTGAACATACTACAATTTTTTTTAAAAAAATTATAGTTTTTAAAACATTTATTCATTTATCTATTTGTTGTGATTTTCAAACCACTGGGTCTAAGACTCAAACCACTGTCAACCATGTGAGAATCCTGTGTCTTAGCTACCATGCCACCTGCGGGCCCACTTTTTTTTTTTTTTGTAAGTCCATATTTGATAACAATGCTATCTGGGTCATTTATGGGTCTACTCTTACTATTTTTCTCTCTTGGTTCAGTTTCTCAATAGACCTGATAAAGATGTCCGTGGGATACTGAACATTGATATAAAACATTATAATGGCTCTGGATAACATTATCTCCCTTGAGAGAGTGTTCACCACTTCCTCTGATAAGCAGGTCAAGTGCAGGTAGACCACCTTAATCCATTATGGGGCTGAACTCCCTTGAGGTAGGGTTTGCTTTTTGTAACCAAGGTTCATAGCTACCCCTGATGTGACGACAGTTATAGGGTGTGGCCCTTCCACACTCAACTTTGGGTTGAGAGCCTGGGATGTTTACTTGGGCTAATCCTTCCAAGCAGCAGGTCTTAAATTCTGGTTTTCCTCCTCGGTACCCTCAGACAACTGAAAACCGTGGGGAGGGGGCTGTTCAGGACTAGTCAGTGCCTGGGTTTTGCTTCCGTGCTGTGACTGCGGAAGCGTGAAAGGTTAGCCATTTGTTAATAGCCACTACGGACCACGTGGCCAGCCTGAGGATGAGGAAATACGTGTTTGGACAGAGTGCTGCTGCCCTTTGGCCCTAGGGTTTTGAAAGACGGTCACTGCAGCATTGTTGTGATAGTGAAAAACAGGAAACAAAATGAATTTCTGCCAATAATGGAATAAATAGTTAAAGCAGCCACCAAGTATCTGGAAAGCTCTGAGGCAGTTAAACACACACACACACACACACACACGACAGCGAGGAAATCCTGTTGTGTAAAGTAAGTTGAGGAACATATGTCAAGTATATTGTTCACATAAAATAAGAACCTATTTCTGTGTGTCCATCTGCACGTGCCAGGAGTGGGAGTTCAGTGCTCTGCTCGCTGCTCGGTCAGACCCTGCTTCTGTTTCAATTATTTGAGAAGCTGAAGGCCTGGAAGTCCAAACAGTAATACAACAAGCATCTACATTTCCATTATGGACAACTTGTAGGATCACATTTGCTTTTGTGGTTTTGTTTTAAAGGGTATCCATGCATCTCTATGAGCGAGGGAGAGAGACCGACAGAAGTAGCACCCCCAACATGGTCTCCCTGCTGAGACTCAGCCTCAGCCCGCCCCAGGGTATGGGCACGGATGTGTCGTATACCCACCATGAACCCAGAACCCTCCCACATGGATTCGCCTTGCACAATGTCACGTTTTAATGCTATGCCATTGTCCAGGTCTGTTTTTGTTTTTTTCCTTGTTTTTGTAATTGTTTAGAAGAAGTGTGCCCTTATGAGAGAGAAAGCATCCCCAGCCCCCACTGGGGTGTGGTCATGCTGTAATCCTTTCTCCCCCATTTCTTCATCCTGTCAGGCCTATGGCCACACCTGTACATGCTTGGCATGTTCCAAGGTGCCTGCATCAAAACTTGAGCCATGTGGGCTCTGGCTTCCTTAACCATTGTGCGACACGGCTGGGCTGATTTTTCTTTTTAAAAAATCCTTTGGGGCCAGTAGGAGGCGTAATGGTTACATCACTGGACTCCCACATGGCTTCCCAGACCCGGTGACTTGAAACACACTGGACGTGTGTGCATGCCCAAGGTCCCAGGCGGAGAATGGAGAAGGGATTGTGGCCGGGCCAGCCCCCTGGGTGATGATGTTTCACTTTCCTTCTCACTTGGGCCCTGCAGAATCCCAGGAAGTCAGTAGCTCTAGGGGAGGACGAATGTGCTGCAGTTTCATGCTCATAATTCTGAAATCCCAGGCCCCGGGGCTGCCTTCAGGTGACGTCAGGAACCCTGTACAGATCGGAAGGATCAGACCTCAGTGGGATTGCCTTGTGACCCTCCCCTGTCCTGTCTGGGACTGAGATCAGGCCCTATTACCAGGCGACATACCCCAGGGGAAGATTATTAGTCTCTCCCGGTTCCTTCCACTGGGGCAATGCCAAGAATGTGCAGTCAGAGAGCAGATTTGCCTTCCTGCCTCCAGATGGCGTGTACTCATTAACCTTAATTACCAGGCGGGCAGGAGTCCCATCCACACCAGTTGTGAAGGGAGGACACAACGCCCAGGAGAGAACACAACCCTGAACTCAGCCGTCCTTCCTTGGGAGCTCAGCTGCGGAGGCCAGCTCATTGTTCTCCGACGTATCTGCGTTGCCCTTCAGCTCCCGGCCTGCACCTGCCCAGTGCTCCATCTGCCACCTTCTTGGGGCAGGTGAAAGTGGATTTGCCCCAGAGTCAGGGATTCTGACCTGGGGGAGCAAATGATCCTCCAGGCAGGTGGGTGGACCCAGCACACTGAAAGTGGGCGGTTTCTGCAGCATAGCAGAGACAAGCGGGCAGGAGTCCTGGTGAACGCTGCAGGAAAGCCACAGGATTCCGTGGAGAACCTGACACAGGACCCAAGTTGGGGTTTAGAAAGGAAAGAAAAAAGCAGAAATAAGGCAGTCACAATTGGAAAGGTGCACAAATACAGGATCTGTGTATGAAGTCAAATACCACCCCAGGGCTGGGGTAGGAGGCACGCATAGATTTGAATGACCTTACTCATCTCCTGTCTTTTACAACTTTCTCTTTTCTTTTTTAAGAAGTTTCTTTTTTTTTCTTTCATGAGAGAAAAAGAAGGAGAGAGCATCAGAACCCGGAAGAGGGTCTTCACACTATGATCCCTCTCTAGCCACAGCCAGGCCAGATCGGGGCACCTAGCACACACGGGGAGGTCCTGGGATGCTGTCTCACGTGGGCCCAGCATTGTGGGGTGTTTTTCTGCTGCACCACCTGCTCGTCCCACGGCATTTGCTCGGGTGAACCTAATTTGCCCTCACAGGCAGCTTTGGTAACATTTACCAAAATGCCCGTTGAGGTGACTTTGCAACTCACAAGCTTGATACTGTTTTGTTTTGTTTTTAGTATCTGTGTAACCGCTGGTATCAGCAGATGGTGTAATGGTGATGTTGCTGGACTCCCACATAGTCGACCACGGTTCCAGTCCTGGAAGGTGTCCCCCCTTCTCCCCTAGTTCTGTGGTTTTCTCTTCTTCCCAGCCAGAGAACGAGGCATGCGTAGGAAGGGAGGAACTTGCCTTTTGTGTTCCATGTCTTGAGTTGGTTTCTGCCATGTCAGTTTGCTTTCCCTGGACAGGAATCTCCTTTTTTTATTTGTCCAAGGGCACGTGCCTCACAGGCGTAGGGTAATAGGAGCTAGAAAGCACCCCCATGGGGCATGAGACTATAATCCCTTCTCTGTTTCTCTCTCCTTTGGGGATTTTGAGCATGTGCACACATACATACCAGTGTGTTTCCCAAGCCGCTGGGCCCAGGACTTGAACCGAGCGGTCTGCCATGTGGAGTCCAGCTTCTGTAACCACCAGGCCATGGGAGGAGCCCACCTGGACATGTATTTAACAAAATAATGAGATCAAACCTATGCAATCTGTGGACCTTTGATATCTGTTTGGGAACCTATCAAAGATGCCAGCTCCTGGCCATCCCTTCCCTGAATGGTTCGGAATCAGCAGCCTCACTTTCTGCACTGATGTGTCTAGGTATTTCCGTGTGTGTGTGTGTGTGTGTGTGTGTGTGTGTGTGTGTGCGTGCTCAGGAGGTGATAACAGAACGCCACAGACAGGGGCGCTTAAACCGCAAAAGTGTTTTCCTCTCGGTTCTGGAGGATGGAATTCCCAGATCCAGGTCCAGCAGGGCTCGATGCCTTGAGCCTCTCCTCATGGCTTGTTAATGGCCACCGCCTTGCTGCATTGCACAGGGTCATAGAAGGCCACAGTTCTATTGGGTTGGGACCCCACAGTTACGACCTTATCTGTCGTAATTATCTCCTAGAATCCTTATCTCCAAATACAGACACTTGGGGATGAGGGAGGGTTAGGGCTTTAGCATATGAATTTGGGCAGTTGGGGGTGGGCACAGTTTGGTCCCTAGCAATAAGTTCCATGAGGACAAGGCAAGAGCTGACCGAGGGGACTGTCACCCTGGAGCCAGGCCAGGCCTGCCTCTTCCAGGCAGCTCACAGTGAATGTCACAGCTTGAGGGCTTGACTGACACCCTCTAGCCACCAGCCCCAGGAAGATGGGAGACTGAAAAAGCCTGCCACTTTTCACTGTGGGGATAAACAGCAGGCTGCAGTGGCGGGCTGCAGCGACATTGTGAATTCACTCGGGGTAACACGGATCAGAGCTGACCACGTGCAATAATCAGCCAGTTCTATAAATAGAAGTGGAGCCATTATGAAAGGTGACCTGTCAGAATCATTTCTCCAGCCGACAAATGGGTTAAGTGGATGGTGTTTGCTCTGGACAGAGGAGATGTCTGGTGTCATAACCCCCCACCAATCACGTTGTCCTAGGGGACTGTACTTGGTGGCCTCACTGCTCTTTCAGAACAATGAACAAACAGGCGTGTTTGTTCACAGAGGGAGATAAAGAGTATATATTAATGGAATTATTAAAACCATGACAACACCAGGGCTGGACAAAATGTGTGGAGGAGATGGAGTTAATGACTGTTTCTTTTTTTTTTTTTTTTTAAGGACTCGTTATCTTCCTATTTCAATATCCCTAACCTCTAAGAAACCTTCTGGAGCAAGGAGGGAGGATGAAACAGCACCATTTTGGATCAAAGTAAGAAATTCTTTCTGCCAAGCGAATGCCATCCTTGCCTTGTTCTTTTACAGACCACCTCACTGGTTCTGCTGTATCTATCGGGTGATGCTGATGCTCCGGCCTCACTCAGGTCTCCCCAGGTTCCCTCTACCATTTGGTATGCACAGCTCACAGCCACTGCATGTTTTTCTGGCGGCTCATACCTACCACTTCCTAGAGGACTATCCTTGGGCCCCTAGAGCTGCTCTCCCGTGTGGGCAGAGAGCTGAAAGTGCCCACAGGTTTCTGTCTCTCTGGGGTGGCTGAGAGCTAATGACTGACTCTTGCAGGAGTACGAAAATCAAGCTTACTGGTATCGAGGGGAGACCAACTCTGCCATGCAACTTATACTCCAGAGCACTGGGGGATCATGCCAAGACTTGCGCTTCATCTGAAATGTCACCTTTGCTGGACCTCTTTACCTCTTGCCCTGCCTTCGCCAGTGTCTAACCACTCTCTGCTGGGAGCATTTCCCAAAGAAATCTGTGCACATGAATCATTATCTTAGAGTCCACTTTGAGGTCACCTGACCCAAGGCATGGGAACATTAATTTTCTGTATTTATTCCATATTTTAACTCAAGATATCAAACATCCAGAAAAAACGAGGCCAGTCAGTGTAGCATGTTTTGTACTGTCAAGGCCCTAGTCCGTGCCCTCTCCCTTGCCCTCGGGCCAGCTGTGATTCCTAGCCAATCTGCATCGCAAAAGATGCTAAAATTAGGAGAGTCACTGCTAGGAAATGATAATCTAGAGAGAAGGACTGGACAGTCTTTTGTTGGTGTTGAAGGAATTAGATGTGTCGCTATCTCTTCTGCCATCTGAGCAGAAGCCAGGAAATGGGATGACCCCGCCTTTCTGGGTATGGCCCCTAATGTAATCACAAACCTCTCTCTCTCTCTTTAAGAATATTTTTAATTTAACTTTATTTATTATTATTATTTTCCAGTTTGATCAGAGAGAGACAGAGAAAGTAAGAAAGCAAGCCACCAGATCTTGGACTTGAACCGTTGTCGGTCATGTGGGAGTCCAGTGCCTTTAACCACCACGCCATCTGCCAGCCCCCACAAATGTCATTTTTAAGAGTGAGACACAGGAATATTTGTCTATAGAAGAAACAAAAGTGATGTGACTACAGAAGCAGAGATTGGAGCGATGTGGCCAGGGGC